GGGGTGGGGAGGGGGCAGGGCATGTGTGCTGTTAGTTTTTTTCATGCCATCAAAGAGGGTGACAGGTCTTGCTCACAGTACTACAGAAAAGCCAGAAAGTAAATTGTCTCTGGTTATTGACAAGCTACTTGTTGGCATGGTCCAGAAGATGGGTGTCTTTCAGAAGGCATCTGTGTCTTTAGGAGCAGGTTCTCTATGTGAAGAATGACAAGGGCTTGTGGGGGCTCCCCCATTAATTGAAGGATCACCCCACAACCGTACAGTGATTGGTCACCACTGGCACATGATATATATACGACTGGACTGTGGAATTACTTGAAACTGTTACACAAAAATTAAGTCAATGTTATCTCATAATTTCACAGTTTGCTTAAATTGTGATCATGATTGAAAATATTTTAGAGGTTTGAGGTATATTATTACCTCTGATAATGAAACAGCTAGTGAAAGATGTAGCAACATCAAAACAACTTTTCAGGTATTAGGAGAGAGGCAACTGTCTGTTTCTAGCTGGTTTCATCACAGCTTTCCAACAGCCCTGTGGTAACTGAAGAATTTTTTTACATAAATGTAATGCTAGAAAAGACACTCTCACATATTTTCACTCCACAGGCACTTCAGCTTGCCTGCCTTGACTTACCTCAGAGGTAGACATTGAATCCTGTAGTAACAGGAGGATGATGAGCACTCCCCACAGGGCAATTTGTTCTAAGATAGGTGGGACGTATCCCTCTCCAATATAAGGATGACTGTCTTAGATGAGAGACCTAACTTTTGAATGGCTCTAATTAAATAAAAAATGTTCCAGCCAAGTATGTTGGGGAAGAGCAATCTCCTGTGAATGATAATTTTTTTTTTTTTTGTCCTGGACATTAAGTCACTGTCCCAGGCTACGAGTATCCCCTTAAAATTTTCTGAGAGGAGGTGATAAAAGAGCAGAGTTCATTGTTGAGGAGCCCAAACAAGTTAAGGGAAACAACAGACTAGCAATAACATGTAAATTATTAGTAAAGGCACTTATGTCGCCTTTATTCATTTGTTCTTTTAAAATACTTTGGACACTGAAGTCCCTATCTGGGAACCAAGCTATGGTTCTCCATGGGCAAAAAAGTGGTTTAATGGGAATGAAAACAAGCAAAAATAAACATCCATTTGACCATGAAGTTTGCAAGGAAAGTTTTTGGATAAAACTTAATGCGTTTATTAACATGGAGACTAGGGGATATGAAAACATTGTGTGCTGGCACAAAATTATTTTCTTTTGTTGACTGTTGGGAGGGAACATAAAAGGCTTCTCAAAGTTGTGGCTAAGATCTTAATAAGGGGTTCTTAAAGTGCAGGTATATATGTCTGTAACTAAATGAGCTGATCAGGTTTTCCGAAGTGCTAAGACTCAGTGATGACTGTTGAATCACCAGGAGGCACTGAGAGCTCCGTACATTTTGTGAAAAATAAGCTACTTACTTCACTAACTAGAGGGGAAAAAAATATTACAGTTTAAAAATCCAGTGCCACTTCCCTTTCAACAGGGTTTTTCCAGGAAGGTGTATCCCAAGTGTGTTCTCCACTCCCTATGGCAGTGAATAGGCTGACTTTTCTCCTCTATCCCAAGGAACTCTACTTCTCTAACAGTCTATGCAGAACAGGTCCTCTCTTCCATGGTTGCTGGGCTTTCTACATTGCCCATACTGGAGGGGAAGCTGGTGTCAGAACAGGTCACTCCAGGGGATGGAATCCACCACAGCCACCACATGGCACAGCATGAACTTCTACAATCATCATAAATATTTATTAACAGGTCCTGTGGGAAAAAAAAAAAAGGAAGATGGTGAAGTTTTGCTGGTCTCTCCTCCTCTTAAGTTTGCTCAGTGGGCAACTCGACGCCAACCCTGGACTTAAAGTGAGGATCACCCAGAAGGGGTTAGAATACGGTATGTGTGATGTTTTCAGGATCTGATGGTCGTATTGCATTGAAACCTGGTAAAACAGACATCTCAGGAAGCGGTGGCAGTGGAAGGAAATGGAAGAAATCACAGGCTATAAAGAAAAGGAAATTTTAAGAGCACAATATAGCAGACACAGTAAGCTGCTTGACAGCATTGTACATCATATTGAGGTTCATTTGATTTCAGATATTGAAACAGTAAGTTCAACTTTTGCCATGACTAGGAGTGAGATCTGAAATAGCACTGCTGGGTGTCAAATGAGATACCCTCTTCTTTCTGATTCTGTGTCCATCCCATCTCCTAAGCCAGAAGCACATAGCTATAAATTCCCAGGCAGTATGAAAGACAACGGAACTAATCACTGTTTTCCTGTAGCCAAGGAGGTTGGGCTGGAAATCCTGAAGCAGAATATGGAGAAGGAACATTTCCCTGATCTGAGTGGCTATGAGAAATTTGGGCTTGGTAATGTCAAATACAACATCTCAAGGTAAGTATTCTCTCCAGGGGCAATTTGTGTTTGACTGAAATTTGAATCTTGTTTTGTGTTCACCCTGACTTGTGAAATATAAACTTCTCCTTTTCTTTTCTCCCCCTTATCTCCCTCATGCTCTAGAATACGTGTCACTGCTGTTGAATTCCCCAGTGCTTCCATCTCCCTTATACCTGGGACTGGGATAAAACTGGTGATTGGAAATGCTTCTCTAACCTTCGATATGAACTGGAACATAAGGACTTGGATGTTGTACGTATAGCCTCATGTGTCCTCGGATTTTTCTTGATGGAGAATGTAAAGATCAAAACACAAAATTTAGTTGTTCTTGTGACCTCTTCATGGCAAAGGTGCTCTTTAACAGCTAGTAGCTAGTAGTAGTAACCCAGGAGTATAAACTGGTCTTTCTCAACAGGTCTTCTGGTGGGAGACAGACCCTGCTCCCTCAGCCATGAGCACTAATAATAAAGACCCCATGGCTGAGAAACCCCTATGCGAATAGTAAAGGATAGAGCATCTAGCTGAACACTGTTGTCCACTCTGCCAACTAATGACACATTTCGAAAAGTTGCAGTACAGTGGATCATAGTCCAGTGTAATGAACACTCCCAGTGCAGCTACACTGTTAGAAACCCTGTGCTGTGCCTCCAAGAGCTACAGTTCGAAAGCTGGTAGGAAAATGGACAAGCAAATGGTTATACCCTTAAAGCAGTCTCCACACCTTCCTAGTCCCAGATTGTTTCAGAGGAAAGAAATTCCCCATCCTCTTCCACACAACTTCACATATTACCTATATTGCTAAACTGACTGAATTACAGCAATCTCTGATCTGCACTTCTGGGCTTCTGCTGTCGGGGACAGCAGGGCTGGCTGCTTGCAAGGGGAGGGGACCTGGGAGCTGAGCGTGATGGCATGGCAGGAGGGGCAGTGCCCTCACTGGCTAGTACCCAAGACAGGCAAGCAGGGCAGGTTAGTGGCAGTGAGAAGCAACAGACACCAGTTCAGATTGCCAGGCAAATCTGAGGCAAAGTCAGGAAGTCAAGGCAGCAAAGCACTGTCAAGATTAACTAAGTAGAAGGTCACACATAGGTGTAGCTACAGCATAGCTTGAGCAAAGACCTGAGCTCCAATGCAGCTCATAAACCAAGGGTAGAGACCCCTAACAAGGCTTTTCACAGCTCTTTATCACAACCAGGTTTTGAACAACTTGATCCAAATTAACACAGCTTCACCATACTGGAGCTGGTCTTGAGCAAGGGCTGCCAGACCCCTGGGAGGGGTGGGGAAGAGGGCACAGCACCTATTGGGGCACTCCAGGCCATGATACGGGTTTGTGTGGACCCTCCTCAGACACCAATAGATTAAATCCCAGTACAGCCATCTTGCCCTATGTCATATCAGGCATACCCCAGTTCCCTCTGCTGTGGGCACAGGTCTTGTAAAAGGTATAAAATACTTTAAAAAAGTATATTACTTACTTTCCCAAAACCATAATTTTCTAAAACTTCTAGCTGGAAATCTGTGTAGAATACTTGATTCTTTGCAGACCCCATTAAAATCTATTTTCCTTATGAGCAATGCAATAAAAACTATTCAGATAAACAACTTCATCTTCAGTGAAAAGAGTCTGTTTGAGAGTTACTCTTGAATAATCACTAACAATAGGTCATTTATATATTTTTACTTTATGCAGCAAAGACAGTGGAAGAAGCACAGTGTACATTTCAAAGGTGTTTGTTACTGCAATCTTGTCAACACCCCTGGATAGTAGGGGTCATACATCAATATCACTTACCAGCTGCCGGACAACTTCTGGTGATATAGACATCAAGTTGAGTGGAAAAAGTGGGTAAGTAGAAGAGATCTGTATATGCTCTGGGAGAAAATAACTGTCAAATGAATGGTACAAAGACAACTTCACAAAATAGGGCACCTCTTTTGGCACCACAAGTGAGAATCAGGGCCATAATCGAGTGTTACAATGGCCAAATTTGACCATTGTCCTTGTATTTGTGCACACTGTCGCTTGAGTAAAGAATAAATACAGCAGTTCTGGTCAGTTTAAACAATCCCTTTTGCTCCTTCAGCACCCACTTCTTTCCAAATACTGCTCTACTCTTCAGCTCTAGATAGAAGTTACCTGCTTTCACTATGCTTTAAGTACTCCTAGTCACAGTGCTACCAAAATTGCACAGAACCAGACTGCTGTCTGTTGTGCCTCTGGTTACAACCCTGTGCAACATTATTTCATTGTTTTCTTGCGCTTCTCTCACTGTCTGAATACAACTCTTGTCACCTGGTTTTAGGTTCGTTTGTTTGTTTTTACTTGCATTGGAAATTCCTAGTGCAGAGACTACTTATTTATTCTGTGTTTGTACAAACATGACAGTGGTAATATGAAGAATTCCTTATTCGTAAAGATGAATCTATCCAGGCTAGTTGCTGAGATGCTTAGTGGAGAAATTACCTCCTTTTAAATGGTGGCTCTCTGAGAGTTGTTACATTTCAGAAAGCTCCCTTGTGTACTAGAATATCACATTCAGAGGCCATTAAACTCATATTCTGCAGAGGTATCTGATTTCCTGTTAATGACTGTAATACTTGACCCATTAATTGCTTTCTTCCTTTCCCCTAGCTTCCTGCATAACTTCTTTATCAAGTATCTGAAGAAACCCATTCACAGGAGCTTGGTCACTAACGTAAGCCTTTCAGATTATGTAGAGGAGGCATTTAAGGAGTGTGACTTTCACAAGTCAATGCTGTGAACTTGGCAAAGGAAGAACTAGGAAAAGAACATAATCCTATTCTAGTCTGATGAGTACAGTCACTGTTTTGCCAGCCAGAAATGCTTCCAGATAAATTACCGAGTTCACGGCCAAGGTAGTGACTAGTCCACAGCTAGGTTCAACCAAGGCAGCAGTAGGGCTGAAAAATGTAGTTATTTTCCCATTGCAATACAGAATAAGTCTCTGCCTGTCTACCTACAGGCATCCTGGATTTGGGGTAATTTTTCTACTCGGCAGACAAAACATATATTGGGTCATGCATAGAGATGTTGTAGTACATCACCTGATAGTATGACATATTTAAACTTCGTATCAAAGAGGTGCGTAGTTGTGATGACCACCTGCCCAGGGCCTCTGAGAGGAGACAGAGCTTGAGATAGCTGTGATTCTGCCTCAGGACAGGGATCTCTCCTGTGAGACTTATGTGAGACCTCTGTTTCCTTCATGTGCTCTTAAGGCTGTGGTTTTGTCACCCCCATCAGGCTGCCTTTGACAACTTCTCACTCTATTGCCTAAAGGCAGCTCTGACATAGGATGTGCTTACACTGTACCAATAGAAACCTTGGAAAACCTTGGAGAACGAGTTAGCTGAAGAAAAGGTAGTGTAGGCATTTTGACAAATATTACAACGTATGTCACATAAGCAGAAAGGTTTGCTAGCACACAGGTAAGAAGTGCTTGCAGGTCCATGCTAATCAGGCCATAACTTGAGTGTTCTTTTATACAGTCATGTCCCAACATCAGATCTGGGATCCAGTTGATAGATGGTGACCTCCAATCACTGAATGGTAAGGCACTAGTGATATCTTTTCCTTCATCTTTCTTCCTCCTGTTCAGTGAAATTCTGCAGTTTCCTTAATAGCAGCTGGTCAGCAAAGCCTCCAGGAGCAGTATCACACCCTCTGATCTGTCTGCTCCCTTGCTTACAGGACCACTGTTAAATAAAGGGAGTGGTACTCAGGCAAGAAAAGGATATTTCTGAGAAGCCGAGGACTTGGGAGTGAGAGAAGCCAAGGACTTGAGAGCAAGTCTCAACTTGCAAATGTGGCAGTGTGCACTTCAGTGTCAGAAATGCCACTTAGAGGCCACACAGCACTGATGCTAAGGCAGTTTTCCATTCCCTCCCATGCTCTGAGTCCTCCTGCACACATAGCACTTTACAAGCTGAAGCCTGCTCTCCTAGCCTGCCTGGAAATCTAAATTTTACTTGCTTCCCAGTTTAACCATTTTGGGTTAGATTTGCAGGCGTTTAAGACACCCAAAGTGTTGGGCAGATACCATGTGCAAAACACAAGTACCTAAGCACATCAGACACCCACCTTTCTGGGGGAGTATGTGCAAGTTAGAAGCACTCTGGATGCTCTCAGCACTGCTTGACAAGAAACCCCAACACCTCCTTATGCCCTGAAGCACTGGTATGGCCGTTTCCTCTTTTTAATTAGACCAAATTTACTTTTTCACAATGAGGAAACTAAAGAAGGTGCTTTAAAGAAGGTGCCAGTATAAACATCAAGGTCAGAATGCATGTTAGGAGGTCCCTGGTTGTGTTTTTACCTACTCTTTGGAACAACTTGTGTCATTCTCCTTCAGGAACTGATTTTGTTTTAAGTATACATAAAATTCTTTCTGTGTTTTTTGTAATATTGGGTATTTTGCATTATCTACCACCCTTACAGTCATAATGCCAATTGATGATTTGGCCGAAGTAGACTACTCCTTAAATAGCTTGCCAGCGGTATCCCGACCATTCATTGACCTGGACTTAAAGGTAATTGCCTGTGGTGCTATTTGCCAAGATTGCTGTGGTTTTTATTATTGTATGATCCACTTCCTAAGATGAACATGATTGCTGTTCTGAACATTAAGACTTAGTACCTAAGAAGCCAGACATTTCAAAGCACTATTGCATTTGTTATTGTAATAATTTTTAACAGCCCTGTTGTAAAATGAATTATTTAAAAACCACATCTTTTTTTTAATTGCTGTGGAATTCATTATAGCAAATGGAGAGCAGTAAAGGTTGACTAAGGAAGTTGGAAGAAAAAAAGAGAAAGGGAAAGGAGAGAAAAAAGGTATTCAACTTCATCCTTCTCTCACAGTGGATTAATATCTGGGACTTCTCTGTGCAGTCAGTCAGGGGAAGATTTCTACTAACTAGATGCATCTGCTGTCAGATAAGAGAGGAAGAAAAAGAGCGAGACTATAGGAGCAAGAATTAAACCTCTGGCACCTTGAATGGGAAAACAGAAGACCCTTGAAAAAGCATGGGAGCTCAAGGAGTGCTGCTGAGTTTGAAGGCCTGAAAGGTTCTTTCAAATAAGGGAAAAAAATTTCCTTACATACTGAAACTAAAGTCAGACTAGCACCTAATTCTTGAGTGACTTGATTGTCATTCCATTTGGTTGAGAGTAGTTATCATCATAGCGTCTGAGATCCTTAATTAAGTTTAAGATGCCTTGCACTATGTGTTCTACAAAGGGAGACTGAAAAGAGTCTTATCACAAACATCGTCTAAATTAAGTATAAACAAGAGACAACAGGGAAACAAGAGAGGAAGGGACACAAAGGAACCATAAGCCAGTATCAGTCAGTATGGTAGACACTGGTCTCAGCACACCAGCTCTGCAGCTGCTGTCAAGCATTTCTGGGTATTGTAGCAACTAGATTTTAAGCAGGGGTTTGAGGCAGGCTAAAGATGTAATGGTATGGCTGTTTACAAGGCTACTTTCCCACATAAGATGCAACGTGAGGGGAAAAATACAAAGCGAGTGACTTATATCCAGCAAGTGAGGATTGAATGGGGAGGTCATGGGCAAAACAACTGAGCACTTTGTAAGCGTTTTGATAGCCCTTAGAAGGAAACACAAAATTTAGGCATAGATGAGGAGGAGCTGAGAAAATAAAGACATAAAATACATTTGAGATTAAACAGAAAGGGGCAACTAATAAAAGGGATACAAAAATCTTAATCTCTGAGTATCTTCCTCACTTTAAATCAGTTTTACCTTTTTGTTTCGCCTGGATGCATTTGGAAGTACATTAGATCTGCAAGCCTTGACTGATATCATGGGTAGTGCAAAAGACAACATAGGTGTTTTCAAGACTGTCTGACATAACTTTCCTTTCTCTCTCATAGGCGTTCTTTTGTCTGCACAAGTTACAACTTGCTTCCGGGTAGAACAAGGTGTTGATTCTGACCTAGAAAGACCTCTGGTTTTAGAGACCATTGGATAGCTCTAGGTGGCAGTTCTCAGATTTGAATTCCTACAGATGGGGAAAGGAGAAAGTAAAGCTTTTCAATAAGGAGGAGCCTTAGTCATGCTCTTCATGCAATATGTAGACCCTTAATTTAGACGCTTTGTTTTCTGAGGTGGTAGACTGTCTTTAGTAGCTGAACAGCATCTCAAAAGACAGATCTCAGGTGTCATCTGTGAAGGTGTCAAATCTCTGGAACTTGTCTTCACCACCTGCTTGAAAGCACCGAGGCTTCAGGATGTACTACAAAGCCTATGTACTCATTTATACACTAAATGAATAGCCTGAGCAAGGGAAAGTGGCATTAATTGTCTGCAGTCACTTTAAAGTCGTATTTTGACTCTGATTTTTTTTTTCTCTGACAAAAACTTTCAGGGGATAGTCTACCCAGCTGGAAACTATACTGGCCCTCCCTATGTGGCAGCTCCCTTCACTATCCCAGACCAAAGTGACTCCATGCTCTACCTTGCCTTCTCGGAGTACTTCTTTCAGACCTACTCATTTGCTTACTACACCGCAGGGGCCTTCAACATCACCATTGCAGAGGAGGTGAGTAGGACAGAGAGGAATGGGGTCAGAGTGGCTCAGGTCATCCAAGCTGGGGCTTTGACCTGCCAGTGGTCAGTATGTGGCTGTATAAAGCCTCTACTTGGCCTGCAAAGTCCTGAGACAGTAGATCATAAATACTAGAATATTGTTATGCTCTTTTATTTATGCTCTGTACAGATGCCTTAGGCCACATCCAGGGGTGTCAAGTTCCACTAAGCAAGGTACAAAATGCAGGCACTTTGCTACAAAAAAGAAAGTTTTTTAGACCTGAGGCGTAGCCTTTTCTGACATGGACAAAGGATCTACTCTGGGCAGCTTAGCAGCCTCAGTGGCTGTCTTCTGAGGGGTCTTTACAGACTGAAAGTACTAGGGGCCATGGAAGCAAAAGCATATGTCAAAGCCCAATAGCTGTGGCTCGGAGGCTAGCAGACTTGGCTAGCCTGTCTCCAGGAGGTTTGGTAAGTTCCAAAACCTATAGATGGCAGCCCAAACTGTAATGATATTAAGCATTTGCTTTCCCAGGAAGTATTTCAGCACATATTATTGGGAATTAGCTTTAAGTATACTGAGTCCCTTAAAAATATTTCTGAGAGATACAAAATCAAAGATTCATTGAAATGACAGTAGTAATGCATTTAGAGAAAAGCTGACCATGAAGGTCAAATCTGGTAAGCTTATTTGTTTTCTCGTATTTTTTTTTTTCTCCAGACTTGCAGCTATTTTAATATAAGCACAGAGATATTTGGCAGCATCATCCCTGAGGTGAGTATCATTACTTCCACAAACTCTTAGGAAACCACCCTGTGTGGGTGTCAGACACCTCACTACTGGTATATCCCAAAGGCTTGTAGGGTCAGTAGGGCTCTTGCGCTGGAGAATCAGGCACATGTATGCCTCATAACAGCAGAGCAGATGGGCCTTGTCACCTCCCACCCCCACAATCAGTTGAATGACTTGCACTGTTACAAAACTTGGCCCATAATCTTGCACATCAATCTTTACTCTGGGCACTGTGCCCAAGCCACCGCTGTTCCCATGTAAAATCAGCTCTAGGCAGGAAAAAGCTTCCAGTCATGAGTCCTGCTCTGAGAGACTTCTGAGAGTGCCTCAGCTCAGAAGTAACACCTTTCTTCTGCCCAAACCTGCATAATTGTCTTTGCTTCACTGCTAGCCTGTGACTGACTAGCAGAAAGGAATCCGTTAAAGACCTGGGGAGGGATTATAGTGGGCACATGCAGGAAACCAAGCTAACGGATGGGCAGGAAACATTACATCTATGTAATACACAAGGCAGATGCACAGGATTTCCATTTATTTTAGGTGGAGGAGGTGAATATAACAGGACAGAGAATAGGAGCATGCATGGCTTCCACCAGCCTTCTCAGACAGAATGAGAAACCAAAAACGAGCATGAGACCCTAG